TTTTCAAGGTTTCAAGAAAGACATTCAACTACATATGCTCACTAGTAACCGAACCAATGATGACAAAATCATCAAACTTTATTTTCTTAAATGGGAAATCAATGTCCATAAAAGATCAAGTGGGTTTAGCTTTAAGAAGGCTGAGCTCCGGTGACTCTTTGATCGGAGTAGCCAACTTCTTTGGTACAAACCACTCCACAGTCTCTCAGGTGACCTGGCGGTTTGTGGAGGCGATTGAAGAACATGGGCTCCACCACCTCCAATGGCCTTCAAAAGAAGAGGAAATGGCAAAAATTAAATCAAAATTTGAAAATATTAGAGGCCTTCCAAATTGTTGTGGTGCAATTGATTCCACTCATATTATGATGTTGCTCTCCGCTTCTGAACGATCCATTGATGTTTGGCTTGATCGTAAGGACAATCACAGTATGATCTTGCAGGTATGTGTGAATATATATGTACTTTGTTTTTTACTCATAATAGCAACCTACTTATATTTTTTTTATAAATAATAACAACTTTCTTACATTTTTAACCTATGAGTGCAACGTTAACCTGAAACTTGAAAAATTATTACAAGTTTTATGGGTAAGGAATTGTAAGTATGCGTTTGTTATGTGTAGAGAAAGTAATTTTGTTTTTATGTAGGTAAAAAAATTGCAAGTAGATTGCTATTATGAGTAAAGTATTGCTATTGTGGTAAAAAAAATAAAGTACATTGCCTATGTTGGTAATAAGAGTAAAATCTGTTGCTATGTCTTGCAATTTATACTTTTTACATTAGTATTTTCTGTTTTGTGCATCATTAGTTGACTTTTTGAACGATTGTATATTCGTATTTGACTTTTGTCACAAACACACCGTTTTTCTTACGAAAATGCAAAATGAACCTACTCTTTGTAAGGATAAAAGATTTTGGACAAAAAAACGTTAAAAGTCCAAGGTTTTTTACATTTACAAGTTACAAGACCAATAGTTAGTTTGCAAAAAAAAAAAAAAAAAAAAAGTAGGTTATCCAGATAAATGATGTTTAAAAAACAAGGAAGGGCAAATTTGTAAAAGATTAAGTCAAAAAGATATACCTCTAAACCACCTTACTCTTAGTGACGTAGAGCTTCAATGTGCCAATATGTAGTCTGAAGAAAGTATGTCTATTAGTGAAATGTCTGAAATATCCTTCAAGAATGATGAAACAAGGAATCTTATAGACCAAATTACAAAATAGAAAGTTTTTAATTACAATATGGATTACGGGGTCCTATGTCAGCCACCTAGCGGGCCACTGTGTACCTTTTTTGTAGAAACATAAAACCGACTAAGGGTAAATAAGTAATTTCACTTTTTTATTCTTGCAGGCGATTGTGGACCCCGATATGAGGTTCCGTGACATAGTCACAGGATGGCCCGGAAAAATGGACGATGCATCCGTCCTCCAAAAGTCAACTTTCTTTGAATTAGCAGAAAAACACGAAAGACTAAACGGAACAAAACTAAAACTTTCAGAAAAAACCCAACTCCAAGAATACATAGTTGGAGACTCGGCTTTTCCTCTACTCCCATGGCTAATAACACCTTACCAAGGTCGAGATCTTCCGGAAACAAAATCAGAATTCAACAAACGACACTTTGCAACAAGATTGGTGGCTCAGAGAGCATTGGCCCGCCTTAAAGACATGTGGAAGATGATTCAAGGAGTGATGTGGCGACCCGATAAACATCGGTTACCTAGAGTTGTTCTTGTATGTTGTATCCTTCATAATATTGTGATTGACATGGAAGATGATGTGTTGGATGAGATGACTTTGAATGTGACACGTCAGCATGACTTGGGGTATCGGCCTGAGGTTTGTGAAGTGGCGGATAACAACGCGTCCCTTTCGAGAGAGAAGTTGGCGCTTTATTTGTCCGGGAGATTGCCAGCTTGAGCCTTGATTGATGTGTCGGGTATTTGATTCATGAAGTTGTATATTATATAGTAGAATGCTTGAAGTTTAAGAGGGATTTTTTCATATATACATAAAACGTTTTGCATTTTACGGATTCTGTTCTTGCTTAGAAGTTATAAGTTTAAATCTTATATTCATGTGTTGTATATAAACCGAACAAACAACAACAGACCCCATAATCTCATTAAATTGAAATGGGGGAAGGGAAAGTTGGATGTCAATATTCATGTCTTTGTCTTTGTCTATAGACTGACTGCTTTACATGGATGACCTTCGGTATATGAAAAACAAAGAACCTATAATAGGGGTTAATAGGTGTCCATTGTCTTTCTCCTATAAATTTTGTAGTTACTGGCGTTCATTAGTTATATTATGAAATTAAGGAGTTTTCATGCAAGAAGGAAAAGTATCATCAACTTGCAGCTAATATTTAAAGTATCTAATAAAAAATAAAAATAAAATGATATTCGGCTTCCTAGAATTTCTTTATGTAATTTAGTCTTGGCGTGTAATTTCCTACTTTCACCGTCGTCGTTGACCTAATAATTGGTTTGACATGAACCCAATTATGTAGACAGTATCTATAATGTTCTCCAAATCTTATTTTTGCAACATTTTTTTTTCTTTGATTAATACTTAGAATTGGTAAATAAGTTATTTATTTTTTTACTCTTTGATTAATATTCGTATTTAAATTTTTTTGGTAGAGATTCTCCTATTAGTATTGACATTGAATATTAACCAACGGTTACATACTTATATGATAGATTTTTGAAAGGGGGGAAAACTAAAAACTAAATTTATAAAATTCAACATAAATATCAAACTATCAAAGTCAATTTAGGACTAGAGCTCGTATGTAATCTATTCACATAGACGTACGTCCCTTTCTTCTAGAAAAATGGTGAACTACAATTTTTCCCCTAGACTTATGTTCGGTTTGTAAATTTGGCCCTTGGAAAAGTCATCATTATAATAGTTAAAAGGCAAAATTACATGATTGGCACTTGTGTTGAGGCAAAATTACATGATTGGCACTTGTGTTTGACAAAATTAAAATAACGGTGACAACTATTAAAATAATTATTTATGCGTTTTGTCCAAAACCACCGCCAGTGTCGACCTCCTATCTCTCCAAAATCATCACCATCATCGACCTCATTTTTTGCCCTAAGTTTTGACGACCGGATATGTGTTTGCTTCGCTGACTGTTGTATTTTCTCAATATTCGTGTTTCATCTGCTAGAGATGGAGTTTTGGGAAGATAGGTTGAAGGTGGTGGTTCATGTTGGAGGAGGAGGAGGAGGAGGTAGTGGTGGTGGTGGTAGTGCTGGTGATGGTTGTGGACGATAGACATTTTTTGGTAGTTATTCTCACCATGTTTAATATATAAACCAATTGTATAATTTTATCAAGTGTACGTACCTTCCAATTACCAATTGTACCCCTATATGTAAGTTGGTGAATGTTTGTTTGTTTGATTGATTTTTTGTGTTAGTGAAAAATACATATAATAACATAAATGACTATATTATTCATTATGAGTATGGGTGGCTGCTAATTGTAAAGGTAACCGACAAGAATGATACACAACGATTATAGAGTAGTTACAAAAATTGGTGTATGGTTGTTCTACTAAGGTTGTGTTTGACGCGCCACAGCTAGCTGATAAACTAGCTTATTTTTCGAGTTTTTTATGTTGTCGTGTTTGGCAAGCCAAAAAGTAGCTTATAAGCTAACTTTTTGAAAAGCTACTTAGGCTGTGTTTGGCGCGCCACAGCTAGCTTATTTTTCGAGCTTTTTTATGTTGTCGTGTTTGGCAAGCCAAAAAGTAGCTTATAAGCTAGCTTTTTGAAAAGCTACTTAGACTAGCTTTTTAGGAGCTTTTTTAAAATTTTTCAAATACACCCTTTAATTAATTATAGAAACACATACTCCTACATGTCCTTTTATGTAATTTTATATATTTCAGCTAGGTTTTACCAAACGTTATTTTTTAACAGCTAGCTTTTCAGCTATCAGCTAGTACGCCAAACATAGCCTTAGACTAGCTTTTTAGGAGCTTTTTTTTAATTTTCCAAATACACCCCTTAATTAATTATAGAAACACATACTCTTACATGTCCTTTTATGTAATTTTATATATTTCAGCTAGCTTTTCAGCTAGTTTTACCAAACGTTATTTTTTATCAGCTAGCTTTTCAGCTATCAACTAGCTTTTTATTTAACAGCTAGCTTTTCAACTAATAGCTAGCTTTTCAGTTAGTCCGCCAAACATAGCCTAAGTTTTTTTTCCTAACCATGTAGTCTTATGTTTGACACTTGTTACGGAGGTCCATGTGTCATTTGAAAGGACTAGTATATCATTTATGAATTTTTTTTTAAATTAGTTGAATAAAAAAACAAAATATCTTAGTTATTTTAATTAACCGGAAATTTCCGTCATGTCCGTGTATCTGTATGTTTAAAATCAAAAAATCTCATTGAAGCACGAGTTAATACCTTTATTGGTTTTTGTATTCCGGTTCCGATCAGTTTTCGGTTAATTAAGACAAAATGTTTTGGTTAATATAAGTATTTTTAATGATTTTAAACATTTTGACTATTGTTTGCCTTAATTAAAAGCATATAGATACACTCACATGACGAAATGTTTTAATTAAATTGGTTCTTTTTTTAAAAGAAATCATATATAACTATTTAATTACTATAAAAAAAATATAAATTGAAATACAAAATCATTAAAGATGATATAAATAGTTTTTTTTCTTAATTTTAACATGGATAACCACTTCTTCATTCCTCTGTTTTTTCTCATTTTGGCTAGTAATCCACTCATCGAGTAAGAGTCAATGATTTCAGAATTCTAGAAACATGGTCAAACCTACGTCATAAAATTCAAAATTACGTCACCGCTGATGAAATCAAACCATTAGTAGGATCTGAGTGTGCGTCGGATGGTATATATATGCGTCGCAACTTGCAACAACCAACAACTAATTCAAACAATTTTATCAAACACTTAAAATTCATTTTTCGAAATTAACCAGTGAAATGAAGAGAAATTGGGATGACGATCGAGAAATTGAGAACTTAGCCATGGCCAACTGCATGATGCTCCTTAACCGCGTCGGCCGATCAGATTCCGGTAGGATTTTCCATTGCAAGACATGCAACAAACAGTTCTCGTCGTTTCAAGCGCTCGGCGGCCACCGTACAAGCCACAAACGGCCTAAATTAAACGATGAATCTCCGGCAAAGGCTAAGACACATGAATGTTCCATTTGCGGATTGGAGTTTGAGCTTGGGCAGGCGTTGGGTGGTCACATGCGGAAGCACCGTGACAGTCTGGCGGCAGCGGAGAAGATTTTTCCGAGGAAAATGGCGGTGCCGGTGGTGGAGAAGGTTGACGGCGGCGGAAGAGGGTTGTGTTTGGATTTGAATTTGACACCCTTTCAGAACGAAATCAAGATTTGGAGTCGTAATGGTAGAACGGCGGGAATTGCTACTTAGAACGCGGCATTTTTTTATTTTATTTTTTACTTTTTAGTTATGTTTAAGGTTATGATTTTTGGGTATGAGGATAGTGTAAATATGCAGAATCGAAGAAAAACACACGTATATTAATCGTTTTTTTTTTGTATTTCATAAATTATGTATTTATTATATTGGATCATAATTCAAAGATTTGAATTCAAACTACAAATGTTTGATATGTACGCCGTACGGGTCATTTGTACGTAGAATTGACGAAATCTAGTAAATTGGAAATGATTTCATAACTTATTTATTTCCAAAATTGGACCAAAATGTACCAAATTTTTGGCTAAACCTATAATAGATTTATTAAGAAAAACAATTTGACCTATCGCATTTCATTATCTATCAGCCAAATACTTGGTTAAACAAATCAATTTTAATCCAATTTTTTATTTTGGGCATATTTGATCCGGCAATATATATATATATATATATATATATATCATTTTTATAGTTAACCATTATATTTTATTTTGGTCAATAAAAATTGGTCATTTTCTAAACAAGCTTTTATTACAAACGCTTATTATTTATCAGTTTAGCATGTTATACACATATGATCAATCTAAGCTAATGAGAGTTTAAGTAAGTTTTATTAAATCGAAAATAGAGGATCACAGTAATTATAGTAGAAAATGTAAAAAAGAAAAGCTTTTATTGAGTTTCAAATATCCAAAGCATTCAAGCTAAATAATAATAATTGTTTTTTAAAAACCAATTTCGTAAACCATGAACACATCAAAAGCAATCCAGATTTTATATCATTTAAAAAATTTGTAAGCCGTTAGTAGTTGAACTGAAATAAGATTTGTGGAAGTTAACTCAGTTAGTGCACTTGATGTGTATACTCAACCTATTTTAAATCAAACGAGTTTATTCGTCTTGAGACAAAAGAAAGCCGTCTGCGAGTTTGACCCTAGTAGTTTTGAAAATTCTACATTTGCATAAACTTTAAATAAATACATTTCATAGTGTTCACACTTCACGTACAACTTGTATAGATAATATAAAGTCAAAGTCCAACAACTACCAAATTTTCTAAAAGTTAGTTATGGAACCAGGAAATTTATGATCTATAAGCAACAAGTTTTGAACTGAAGTAATATAAATTTTAGTATTCCTTTTTTATGTTTTTTGAAAATAAATAATATTATATTTTCTAAATAATAAAATTTATTCACAAAATCTAGCGTTTTAAGTTGAATGTTGACAAGTGTAAAGTTTTTAGGAATGTTACTTTCCTATTCATAGAATCTTCAATTTAAATTAAATCCAAACAATTTCTAACATATCATAACTCATATCAAAATTACACATTTTAGTGACATAAAAAGAAAAAAAAAAAAGTTGAGTTATCACTATAAACTCCATACATAAACCTGGCCACCACTTGTCGCCCCAGCAAGCATCCCAGGATTCAAAGGATGAGCATCAAAACGACATGGTATTGCAGTCATGTGAGGACTCTCAAGAGTAGTAACAATTCTCTTCTCTTCAGTAGAAATAACATCAACCCCTCTCTTCATACTTCCCACAAATACATACGAATCATCCCATCCCCACACACCCCTAACGGACACAAGGACAAAATGGTCATTTACTAACACTCAAGGAGATTATTCATTCGATAAAAAAAGAAGAAGCAACTTACTTGAATGAAGAAAGCCATCTACCCGTCTGATTGTAATGATATAGCAAAAACTCATCATCATAATTTGCTCCACTTACCACTCCAACCTTATCATCAAGACTACATAAAAAACATCACTTTGTTCAGATATAAGACAACAAGATCATAAAGTCATTAATGGATGAGGGTATTTTTGTATATTGTACCTTGTTGTAGCAAGAAGGTTGCCTGAAGGAGAGAAGTAAGCTGAATGTACAGCCCTATCACGTCTAATCTCTTTAACAGAATCTGGATTACTTTTTTTACCAAGCTTCCTCAAGTCCCAAATGCAGGCACTTCCATCTGAAGAGCTTGTAACCATTAAATTGGTGTTTGCTGGATTAAAATCTATGGTGTTGATCCTAGAATCATGCAAGTTCCAAGCCATTGATGAGCTATTAGATCTTTCATCCCAAACACGAAGAACTCCTTGGCCCTCACCAAAATATAAAGAGTTCACATCATCAGATCTTTGGGACATAGAAAAAATCGCATCTTCAGTGGAATAAGTAAGATCAAATGTCTCCTTCTTCACATCTAATGTGCGAATAAGACCATGATAAGAGCATGTAATGATCTGCTTCAAAGTAACATGAAAATGACCCGATGTTGAAGAGAATTAAGTTTTTAGATTATCTATGAAAAAGAATAAAATTTGAGAGAAATAGATGAGAAGTACCTTGTTCATGGAAAAAGGTTGAATACAAATCGATGAAACAGGAGCTGGATGAGGACGATACATATAAATCCCATCACCATCTTCAGTTTCCGAATCAATATTCCAAAACCCTAAATCCCCAAATTTGTTCCCGACAACAACCATCCTTATATCTGCGGATGGAAAGAATTTAACTGACAGTATCCTGTTAGGTACAACACGAGCAATATTCTCTGGCATCAACTCCATCGATTCCAAATCAATCGAAGCTGTAACCCTCATTCCAACTCCATTCTTTGCTCCGTTTGATGGTGAATCCTTAGATACACTCAGAATCTTCTTGACAAGTGGTTCATCCGGCTCAGAAGAAACCCTCACGTCTCTCATAAGAAGCGGTGTTAATTCTCGAGCGGATTTATCAGGCGTGACTTGTGATTTGGGTGTTGTTTGTTTCTTAGAAGATTCGTTGAAATCATCTGCTAACCCTGGAGAATCTGGCTTTTTTCCTTGGGTTCTTAGAGATCTACGGATTACAATTGGGGTTTCGGATTTTGCTTTCTTCTGTGGACTAATTTTGTAAGATTTAGTCTGTTCCCTGTTCAAAATAGCATATATAGATTCACCAATTGAACAAATCCATAAGCAAACACTCCGAATCAATGTATTTAACTTTGTATCATGTGTATAGAGTGAAAGGGATACCTGTTACGCTTGGCGGATGCTGATAGATCGGCAAGCTTGGAATGGATCTTGAGAGAGGCGAGCAGTTCGTCGTTGCGTTTGATGTTTTCAAGGCGTTTACGCTCGTACTCCGTGAGTCTCTGAGACGCCATTTTCTATAGCGAGAGAGAGATGGGGAGATGGGGGTTAGGATTATCTATATCGAAAATGGCTTAATGGCGGCGGGAAAGGAAAAGTAGCGGGAAAAACACTCGGGTCATCACCAACGGGTCAAGTAACTCACTTTGATTGGGTAATTTTCGCGGCAGATTTGTTTAGTTTCAGTTCACCCCCTAAACTATTTCATTTTGTATAACTTGTCCCCAGTTTTATTGAAATGCCACATTTTTATTTATAACATAAAAATAGGGTCAAATGTACATAAAAATATACTTTGTTTGGATCACACTTGTTATACCCTTACAGAACCTTTTATACTTTTATATCTACTACTTAAAATAACTTGTTCGACTATAATAATGTTTATCACATAGATATAATTCTAAAAATACCATAATATGAAACGATTTATAAAATGTAACAGTGCTTGCTTCATAACACAACTACATCTTGCAGTTAGGACAAAAATTCATCATGCAAAATATTTTCTTAAAAACAGTCGGATAAAAGATTTTGTTTACTTCTGCATTTTTAAAAAAAGTATTCGGAGTTGATAAAATCATATGTTTTTTGTTTTTATTCAAAAAAAATCAACACATGCAAGATTCTACAACTCTTCATTCGTCACGATAATTCCCAAAGTTGTTAAACCGGTAACCATTAAATATTTTAGACCTATCTGTCTTATTGGTGTGCAATACAAGATTATTGCAAAATTGCTCACCAATAGATTGACAAATATGGTTCGTCCTCTAGTAAACATGGAGCAGTATGTCTTTGTTAAAGGAAGATAGATTTTGGATATGTCTCTTTTGCTTAATGAGGTCTTGGGTGGCATAAAAAGAAGAAGGGTCTGATGGTTTTCAATATTGATTTTGAGAAACCCTATGAATGTCTCAGTTGTGGGGTATTTGGAGCATATTTTAACCATTGCGGGTTTATGGTTGAGGTGAAGGGATTGGATTGGGGACTTCTTACAATCAGCTAGGTCCTATATTCTAGTCAATCGGAGCCCTTTTGACGAATTTTCTATTCATATAAGGTTGAGACATGGTGACCCTTTATTGTTTTTCTTGTCCATACTTGCGATGGAAGGGTTACATGTGGCGATTGAGATTGAGGATGTCATATGCATTGGGTTGTATCATGGGGCTAAAGTTGGTTGTAACGGGTTGGAGATCTCTCATTTTTTCTATGCACATGATGTTATCTTCTTGGGAAAGTGGTCATAGGAAAATATCATCAATCTTATTTCTCTTTGTAGATGTTTTTATTTAACTTCAGGGTTAAGGATCAATTTGCAGAAGTTAAAGTTGTATGGTATTAGGGTGCATTCGGCCTTTGTGAAATGGTGATAGATCTTCCGGTAGGATCAAACATGAAATCAATTATGATTAGATTTTGGAAGAAACTCTCCCATGGAAGGTTGAAATGCTTTCTATTGGTGGTTGGTCGATGTTGTTGAAATATGTGTTTGTTTCTTTGCGAATTTATTATATGTCAATGTTCAAGATGCATGGGTTGTTAGTAAGCCTCTGAAGGGTTGAGATCCACTTTCTTTTTAAGGTGGTGATGTTTGAGAATTTATTATATGTCGGCACTCAAGACACGAAATTAAGGTGGTGCTCAACAAAGGCATATGGGTGAATTGACTAATCTGTTTGGGTTTTTTCAACTTTTGTCTGAACGAGACCATTGGAGATCTATAATCGATGGCATGGATACGTTTACGGTTAGTAACATTAGAAAGCATATTGATGATGAGATTTTGCCTACTTTGAGTTTGGCTAGTTGGTGGAATAGGTTTATGCCTAGAAAGTCAACATTTTTGCATGGATTGGAGACTACGTTTGGATAAGCTGCCCCATAAATCTTGTAAACAGAGGGGTTGATTCCCAACCACTCTATGTTTGACTTGTGTCGTGGTTGCAAAACCCAATTATGTCGATCAGCATGTAAGCATGTAAAACTGTCACTTTGCTGCTAGTTCCTCTAACGTTTTTTAATATATAGTTCAAAAAAAATATAGAAACAGGAAGGCCTCCACACAATAAGTATAGTTACAATCGTTTCATGACATCATTGTTAGTGCTATAACACATTAGGCCAGGGAAAAACAAACACAAACATTGTCTACCACATCGCCATGTCAAAACAAAATCAAATTATATAAGGAAAGAAAAATGATTTTTCAAAATAAAAAGAAGCTACTACCTTTCACACACTACCACAACACAATCTTCCCATTGAAGAATAGCAAGCAAGCACTCCACTCCACCATCATATTTTTTAAGAACCACAGCAAGCTGATTTCTGTCCAAGTTGACCATTCCCAGCTGTTGCATCTGGTTGATTAATTTTAATCGTTGATGGCTGCAATCATTAAATAATTATTAATTTTAATCATTAATTGTCCCTTGTTTTAATTTTTAATCCATAATATATATACCTCAGCCTTGGAATCAGTGTCTGAAAGCCTTTGCTTGATATCCTTTGCTATCGAAAAGAAAACTTGCTCCACATTTAGGTTCGTTTTTGCACTCTGCCAAAAACACAAGTTTCTTTTTCAATTTTCTCTTCTCTTCAGTAGAATAAATACATCTTTGGTCTCTGAGTATAGCTCATTTTTGCAAATTTTATCCAAAACTGTTTAACCCTTCAATTTTGGTCCTTATTTGAAGTTTTTGGTCCATGTTCCAAGTAAAATGATGAATATAAAGTATAGCTGGTTTTTGCAATTTTGGTCCCTACCTTGTTTTTTTCTTCCAATTTTCGTCCTTTACTAAAAAGGTTTTTGTAATGTTTTTGGTCCTTGCTTCAAGTAAAATGACGATTTTTAGTCCCTAAGTATAGCTGATTTTTGCAAATCTGGTCCACAAAATATTAGTTATTTTACTTGGAACAAAGACCAAACACATTACAAAAACTTCAAATAGGAACCAAAATTACAAAAACCAGCAATACTCAGGAACCAAAATGTAATTTACTCAATTGTCTTTTAACCATTTCAAATAAATAATTCAAAGATATTAAAAAAGTGTACTTACAGTTTCGAAAAACTTAATGCCATATTCATCCGCAAGAGCTTGACCCTTTGCAGTCGGAACAGCCTACAAGAAAACAAGATCATGAGTCCATGACACATCATTTTTGGTTTTTTTGAAGGGTAAAACTGTAAAAACAAAAAAAATAGAAAAACTAGCAATACCCTTTTGCTTTCATCCATATCAGCCTTATTCCCAACAAGAATCTTGTTAACATTGTCTGAAGCATGTTGTTCAATGTTGCGAATCCAGTTTCTTATGTCTGGATATATATAAAGAGATTTGTCAACAATGTGTCATTCATTATAAGGTTAAAAAAAAAAAGGAACTTACTGTTGAAAGATGATTCGTCAGTAACATCATACACCAATAAAATCCCCATAGCACCCCTGTAGTAAGCTGGGTATAGAGGGGTAAAAGTGTCAATTACATAACATAGCATTATAATCTGAAAGACATGAGAAAAATCTGTACCTGTTGTGATGGTTCGGAATCGTTCTTGACCAGCTGTGTCCCAAATTTGGAGTTTGATCCGTTTGCCATCAAGTTCAACGGTTCTTATCTTGAAATCAATACTGTATCAAGAATTTAGTTATTTAGATATATATTTAAAAAAAAAAGAACGAATTAATCTTTTAAAGTGTTGTAAAGAAATTAACTCACCCAATTGTAGTGATGAAACTAGTGGTGAAAGAACCATCAGAAAAACGCAAAAGAAGGCAACTTTTACCAACACCTGTAATTAATTACAGTTAAGCTCTGATATTCTAAAGAATAAATGAAAATTGAGTGACATCTTTTAGGATACAAATCATACAGGGAAGTACTTAAGCTGCCTATTATGGTTGTAATTAGGGGAAGAGTTTCAACTTATTTACCTATGAAGCTATGGTGAGGGCAAGGGCACGAATGGAAATTCAAAGAATTTGGAAATTGTGTATTACATTTTGGGATAAATTTATATCCATTTGCATGGTACAAATAATAGGAGAATTTTAGGATAGTTGATATACTTGTATTGTAGTCCTTAGAGCAAGTATTTTGGTTGTTATTAGCAAGATTACCTATATAAATTCCGTTCATGGTTAACTTTTTCTATAAGGTCACCCTATAATCTCCTATGATCTATAAGATTTGATCCTTAACATTTACACATGGAAATTATCTCTCATATATTTTAATTTCCTCCATTTCTCATTACTCCTCTCCTAACTACTATCTTATGTATTCATGACAACAGTGTCATGTCACATGTGAAAACGACAATGTTGTGAATCCGTATTCAATGCTCTCTCTCTCCATGCTGTACTTTTATTGGTTCAAAATCATCGCCTTCAATTGGAGAACCAATCACCACTTCACCAGTTTGAAAACTAAGAACAGGGTAGACTCTCAACCACAAACATAACATTAACGCATCAGCAAGCAAAGATTTTCTTTCACAGTAAGCTGAGTCTTCATGTGATGAGAACACTATTGCGTACTACAGCAGCACATTACTCAACCAACTCAAAAAACAACAGATCAAACATTCCAACAAAAACAAACCCTATATGAACAAAGTGCACCAAATCAACCTAAATTAGTACAAAAATCTCATTCAAAATACATAGATTTATTTTTTTCAACTTCCAAAAGATCAGCAACTATTCTAACACTCCACCATAAGCATTGATTAACCAATTTCAAGAGCATACAGCCATATAATCCAGATACAACGTTATTCAAATATAAATAGTAGATATGATATGATGAAACAAAAACTCACCGCTATCGCCGATCAGAAGGAGCTTAATAAGATAATCATAATCTGCTCGTGCCCTTGCTGGTGGAGCAGCCATCGAAGAATCAAAATGAAGTCGAAGAAAAAGCCCTAAAAAACGCGTATATACACAGTTATATCTGTAGAAATAATCAAAACAGACAAATTCATATATTAGAAACAAAAATTCAATTAAGAAATCTAATTGAGAGTGTACGCCATCAACAGGATACACACGCACCAGATCGGAAATCGATCAAAGATTCGCCATTGAAGATCGAGATACGGATGTTATTAAGGAAAATACATCCACTATATGACGGTGCGCTAAGATGCCCCGCTTCTCTGTTTCCAGTTCTGAGGAGAGTACGCCGGTCAGTCCCTGCGCAATCCAGCAAAAATGGGGGAGAGAACAAGGGCGACAGAGAAAGTTTCCGGTGTTGACGAGCACAAGATTATAACGTAGACAGCTGTCGGTTTTAATGGAAACTAAGCGACGGGTCACACTAATAACCGTGTGCTTATCGTAGAGTGTTTTAACATTTTAACTACAAAACCTCATAAATGCTTCATTGTTTTTTTAGAATCCCCTGTTAAAAAAAAAAAAACTTTATTAATAATAGAAAAAACATCATAAATGGTCTCTGTGGTTTCCCAAAATTTGAAGTTTAGTCCCCGTGGTTTAAAAACCTCATAGATGGTCCCTGTGCTTACAAAACTTTTGACAGATGGTCCTTATTACTAACTCCGTTAAGTTTGTCCGTTAACTAAAGGGCATTTTCGTCTTTCCATGATCACAGGGACCATGTCTCCATCCATAATTGATCGGGACATGGAAGAGGCAAACGGAGCAGTAGGGGAGAATGGGCCAAATCCCGGCAAGCCTCCAAGGTTTCTCTCACGCCGTCGATGGTCACAATCCACAGGAAGAAAGAGCGGTTCAAAGATAGATCTAAGAAAAGAGCAAGATCGAAAGCAGGAAGCCAACGACAGTGGCTTGATGAGGGTTATACGGTCGTGAGGAGGGGGAATCGACTTCTCTGGTGAGCTCCTCTTGATCCCTTTTGCTTCTTCGCCGGTAACGAGCCGACAGGAGAGCAATAATAACATCAGTCAATTTTTAGGGTGGGTTGGGTGGTTCCGATCGGGGAAGCGGGTGGGGTCGTGAAGGTGATAGCAATCGGTACCTCCGATTGTTCTTCTTGGGTTCTTTCTCACATACTTCTTGCAACAAAACAGTAAGGAGGAGTATGGCTGCAAACGCCGATCAACGGGGTGTTTGGGATTGTGCTTCTTCGATTGGAGGAGGAATGGTCTCGGTGGGGTTTAGCAGATCGCGACTTCAGGGGTGTTGCTCCGATCGGTAATTGGTTCTCTTCCCTTTTCTTTTCGTTTGACTGTTTGATAGGAATCATTGGGGTGTTTGGGTTTGCTTGGGTTGTTTCTTGAGTTCACATGGGAAAATAGAATAGATAATGGAAGGGTTCCTGCTCCTGAGCTCACCAGGAACCCATAAGAAAACCACCTCCAATAGAGGTGTTCTTGGTTGTGCATCGAAACAGAAAGAATAAGAGAAGGAGAAAGGTTGTCATGGCCTATGGGATGGAAGAAGAAGGACCAACATCAATGGTATTCAGGGGGCTGTTTATTTGCTTTGATTGATAGGAAGAGAAGAAGGAAAACATGGTTGATGTCCCTCTTGTTTTTACTGAAAAGAGCTCCTCCTATGGAGGACTTTGACAGTCAATGTGAGAGAGAGAGAGAGAGAGAGAGACCCTTGCATATTATTTCATTTTTGAGAAAACATTATAAATGGTCCCTGTGGTAGAGAAATGACGAAAATGCCCTTCAGTTAACAGATAAAATTTAACGGAGTTAGGGATAAGGACCATCTGTCAAAAGTAAGCACAGGGACCATCTATGAGGTTTTTAAACCACGGGGACTAAACTTCAGATTTTGGGAAACCACAGGGACCATTTATGATGTTTTTTCTTAATAATATCTCTTTTGCTGGTTAAAAAAAAATTTAAAAAAAAACTTTATAAAAATCTTTTATGGTTTTTAATTAGAAAATCTTCAATAAAATCTTAATTATACCAATATTTACTTTTTAAATAGAAATGTCTCAATTATTTATTTTTATACAATAATATATCATTTTATGTAGAAAAAAAAATATGATTGTTTTATTAACTTGGACAAAATATAAAATAATCGGAACTTTTCTATTTAAAAAATAAAAATTGAAATTAAATCGTAAACTCACCCAAAACATTAAAATTTTATAGGAGATTTTCCTTTTCAATTGTATATACTATTAAGGGATATATACAGTAAAGTCCTAATATTTTTATCGATTTGACAAGAAAGTCTTAAACTTTATTTTTTTGACAGTAAAGTCCAAATTACCGGCAGTTTTTGACATTTTTACCCTTTTTCCCCGGTTAGCCAGTAATTAAGACTTTTTTGTCAAAAAAATAAAGTTTAGAACTTTCTTGTCAAATTGTCAATTAAGACTTACTGTCAAAAAAATAAGGTTTAGAACTTTCTTGTCAAATCGTTGAAAATATTGGGATTTTAATGTATATATAATTTTTTGGTTAGAAATTTAATTATATGATACTCTTTAAGCATAATATTTATTAGAACCTTCTCTAATCAGCTAGATCCTATTGAAATCATTAACGTTTTCTTCTTGTTAAATCGTTTTTTTAATCTCAACAAACCGATATTGAAAAAAATTGAGATAATCAAGAAAGAAAGAAAGAACTAGGGTTGTACTGGCCTTTTGCAGTCCCAAAAATGGAGAAATAAGAAACCTAAAAAAACAAAATGGCCCTTCTTTCCCTTCTCCACATTCACACCCTTTTGACCAGACATGTGTTGTTTGTGTTTGTATAAAGTCAGGGCAATTTCGTTTTTTTCGGTTTCTTATTTCTCCATTTTTGGGACCGCAAAAAGTCAACACAACCCTGGTTCTTTCTTTCTTTCTTGATTATCTCCATTTTTTTTAATGTCGGTTTGTTAAGATTAAAAAAACAATTTAATAAGAAGCAAACGTTAAGGATTTCAATAGAATCTAGCTGACTAGAGAAGGTTTTAATAACTTTTATGCTTAAAGAGTATTATACAATTAAATTTCTAACAAAAAAAATAATATATACACTAAAGTCCTAATATTTTCAACGATTTGACAAGAAAATCCTAAACTTCATTTTTTTGACAATAAAGTCCCGATTGACGATTTGACAAGAAAGTCCTAAACTTTATTTTTTTGACAAAAAAGTCCTAATTACTGGCTAACCGGGAAAAAAATGGTAAAAGTGTAAAAAACTGCCGGTAATTTGGATTTACTGTCAAAAAAATAAAATTTAGGATTTTCTTGTCAAATCGATAAAAATATTGGGACTTTAATGTATATATCTACTATTAATTGTTAAAAAGTTGGTGAACAATAATCTTTTACGATTTAGATTTCTGCTGCAGATTTTTCTGGATTGTAAACATTTGCGACAAGGCTTTTCAAATTTTAAATTTAGCCCCTTAAATCCGCATTACACCGACTCCAATATTTTTGCCCCTCCATTACACCGAGTCACCGACTCCAATATTACAAACCTTGAAATGATTTGTTTATGAAAATGAAAAGGAAACAAAGCCCTAGGCGGAGATGGCGTAGAAGGTTACCCAACAAACTCCTGGATCGTCTTTTATCGCCGCCGATGTTGTCGCGACACCGGCTGCTGCTCCATCTCTTCCTTTACGCTTAAACAGTAGGTTTTATGACCGTACCTTCACCCTTGCTTATGCGTATCGTCTGGGTTTGATTGTTTGCCTTAATTGCGCCATTTATGTGATGATAGAATTTTGTGTTTCTTCAGAAGCAATCGGAGCTGATGGTAAGGACTGTGAAGAATCATCATCACGAAGAAGAAGAGGATGACGAAGATTTCATTCGGAGAACAACTGAGGGCTCCTCACAGAAAGGTTTTTTTTCCTCATAAACATATACGTAATTTTTATAATTGAAATTGAACTTTTCAATTGAATGCACAGATGGAAGGATCTCTTCTCTCTTGCTTCCATTCTCGATCTAATATTATGAGTAATCCGCTTTAACATTTGTTTGATTAATTTCAGAAATCGATTGATTTTGTAGGATTTAGTTTTTTTTTTTTTTTTTTTTTAATTTCAGCAACGCCTCAGGGGGTGGAATTTGCCAACTGGTCGACATATTGATCCAAAGAGTAATCATCTTTTTTACTTTTGGTTCTTTTTAGCTACTTTGACTTATGCGGACTCAACTATGATGTTTTGGTTATATTAGTTTGTATTTTGAGTTAATTTGATGTTGATTGATTTATAGATGGTGTGTTGGTGAAGATGAAGGTTGGAGTGGTATGAGATTAAGCCGATACTTTTGGTAAGGGGTGTTTTAAGTAGTTAAAGACTTTTATGAAGCTGTAAAGCCATTTTTAGTTTATAGTTGAGTTGTTGTCTGTGTGCAGGTAGACAGGTGGAAGGGGAAATCAACCTATTAAATTCCTTATGTTTTCATTTACGGTAAGGTATATTTTGTAGAGCTAAGCTTGTGAATTGTGATACAATATTACAATACTAAGTGGTGGCACAGTTGACTTTCTTTGGTACTTTCTGAAACTTTTCTTGGTACTATCTTCCTAAATTCAGAATATTTTGGAGTTTCAATCAGAAAGGTTGCAGATTTAGGCTACTGGAATGTCTATTTTGCAAGAATTCTGTTGATGTTTAGAGTAAGTATAATTTTGAGTTAATATTTATTGAGTATTGACATATATTTTCGCACAACAATTGACAATATTAATGAACAATTCTCATTTTTAGCTATTACTATGTGCAATATGTTTCCCATTTTTAACCACGTCTTTTTTTCATTATAAAAGTAGCCACCTTTTAACCGACTGAAGCCCTATTCATTATTTCATTATTTTCGAAATTAATTAATAAGTTTGTTAATTTCAATTGAATGTAGTGCAGGCTGTTCAAAAATCGATCAACTAGTTTGTATTGTAGTTGTTCCTCAGTCCTCACCCACATATAAAAACGTATATATCTTTTTCATTTCTTTTTATAATTAGTTTAAACTAAAACTATTTTAAAATAATAAATAAATAAATAATCTCACATTTGGGCCTACATACTCTTTCTTCATGAGAGATGGTGATAGTCTCCTTACCTATCAACCTTTGACTAATGTTTATTTTCTTGTCCGATTTGTTATGGATTATGGTTCTCGTGTAACATACACGGTCTCAGAAACAACAATTGAATTTGCAACTGATGAACTTGATAAGAGAATTATGGGATTAGAATTGAATTAAGTATGAAAAAAAGTTCTGATGATCAACACAAAAATATAATGAGGAAATGAGAAAAAGAATTGGTCCGTCAAATGTCTACGACTAAAACAGAGTTATCAAAATTGACTGCAAAATTGTCAAACCATAAAGACCAAGTAACGGTTTTAACATTGTTCTAAAATTGCCTTATTTTGAAAAACACATTGACCATTTATGAAATTGCCTATTTTAAATTTTATCTTCCAACTAAAAACAAATCTAACATTTTTAGTCCAACTAGGCATTTTGTATCAAACTTTGAAGGAATAAAACCGTAAAAGAAATTATATATATATATATATATATATATATATATATATATAAATGAACAATATGTTTAGTAGGCTTAAAAAATATAATGAGGTATTCAAACATATTTTTTGCTATGTATAATTAGAAAACATATAAAATTAAATAGATAAGTAAATAAATAATGTTAAAATTATATATATATATATATATATATATATATATATATATATATATATATATATATATATATAACCTAGTAAAAATATATTAATCAATAAGTGTATATGCAACGTCCGCATTTCCAGCTAGGCTTACTAATCAAACATGTAACTTTGTGGTCAAGTCATGTAGTCATTTTGCGAATGAATAAGACATGATTATTCATATATTTTGTGCTTATGTGTTTTATATGATATTAAGATATATTATATAATAAAATAAATAAGATTTAAAATACACATCAAAAGTAAAAGATCATCTAGGGAAATTAATCTCAACCTAGTTATAGTATTCGTAATTAGGATCCTGTACATATCTACAACGCCTGAATCTGACTTAGAACGAAGAAGTTAGGAAGCGTCAAAGTCTCGCGATAAAAACTGACACAGCTACGGATAGTGTAACAAGTGAATCTGGGTTAGATTGTTTTTCAGCTTAGGAAGTCTAAACGGAATTAATAGATGTCGTAAAAGCGAATTCGTGCGTATAGGTATCGTCTAAATCTGACTTCACTAAGGAAGTTATGATTTTTCTAAAATTCGGCGCAGCAATGTGCGCATCAATA